TGTGTAACGATGATTTCATACGTATTTGTTATACAATTTTTAATTTCTGGTAAATTTTATATATCGGTGCTATTAGTGCTAAAATTATTTTTCCTTATCGAAGTGGAAATAAAAATATAATTCGTGATTCATTATGTAACTACGAGTAATCATTTGATTTAAACGATTTGCCCGTATTAAAATGGGTGTGTCTGTATAACCATATAGAAAAAACCGTTTATATACAGAGTGGTACTTCCACAGGAATTTCGCTCACAGAAAATTTCAACATAAATTAAATGAAAATATGTTTTTAAGAAGGATTGTGCTCCATAATTTTATAAATTTTTTTGGGTTAAACTTTGTATTATTTATTACACAATCTAAAATAATAATAATAATAATAATAATAATAATAAAAGCACTTTATTGGTTATGAATATTACAACCAAATGGCCATCGACGTAATTCCTTCAGCCAGTACAATTTGTATGGTATGTGTGAGGATTTACAAGCTATGTGTGCGAATATTAAGATACTTAAAAAAAAAACAACAATATATGTCACTAATTATTGTTCATCGGCAAATTCGTTTAAGATTTATGTTATTGATAAAAAAAAAACCCAGAAACAATGTCTGGACGTGGCAAAGGTGGTAAAAGCAAAAATAAGGCAAACTCTCGTTCAGCTCGTTCAGGACTTCAATTTCCTGTAGGGAGAATTCACAGATTATTACGTAAGGGACACTACGCTGAAAGAGTCGGGGCGAGGGCTCCAGTTTATTTAGCTGCCGTACTGGAATATTTGGTTGCAGAAGTTTTGGAATTAGCAGGTAATGCTGCAAGAGACAACAAAAAGACCAGGATCATTTCAAGACATCTACAACTAGCCATCAGAAATGACGAGGAATTGAACAAGCTCCTGTCTGGTGTTACCATCGTACAAGGAGGTGTATTGCCAAACATCCAAGCCGTTTTACTGCCAAAGAAGTCTGGTTCAGGAACCGTTGCCGCAGGAGGAAAATCTAACAAGACACAATCAGGATTATTGAGTTAATTTTTGTTTTTTTTATAAGGCTCATTCTGTAATTGTAGTATGTATTTTAATGTTAAGTTATATTGTTTATTAATAAAGATTTCTAATTCTTTCCAGGATAGGCTGAATCTTAGTTTTTTCGTAAAGATATTCATTCGCGAGATGGTGAGTAGTATTTTCAGGATGTCGCATCTTGGTAATGATTCTTAGTGTAGAAGTTTCAGCCACTTAAATATATTTTAATGCAGGTTTTCGCCAGTTTAAATATATAGTGTGATCGTATTCCAGGAGAGGTCCGCAATTGTTTTGTAGATTTTAGTGGCCGTGTAGATGTTGATACCTTCTTTTTTGTATGTTAAAGAGGGGAAATGTTTGGCTCTGGTTTTGATTTTGTTTTTTTTTGTCTGCTTATTATCAATAATAAGGCCTAGGTAGGATACGGGATATATTGGTTGGTTAGATATGATGAATGTAGGTGATGTCGGTCTTAGATCATGATAGGGTATCATTAATTGACGTTTTTGTGGGTTAACTTGTAATCTCCATTTATTGAGCCATTGAGCAACTTCGTTGTATTGATTTTGTAGTGCTGTGATGGTTTGATTCAGCATATTTCCATGCGTTATCAAGGCCGTGTCATCTGCGTATTGGAGTGTGTAATTTACTGCATTGAGGTGTAACTGACCTGAAGGAAAATCAAAGCAATATATGTTGTAAAGGAGCGGAGATAGTGGCGCCCCTTGCGGTACACCTTGATTTGCTATGAAACTTGGAGATGTGTGGTTATTTATTTAAACTCTTAGAGTTCTGTTTTGAAGGAAGTTTTTGATAAGAATTATAAGACCATCAGGCACATTAAGAAGTTTTAGTTTAAATAGGAGGCCTTTGTGTCAGACCTTTGTCCAACAGAAGAATGGCAGATTTTTTATTGTTCAATTTTGTTGTTTGCACATTGGAAACCAGCAGAGTGGTTGGTACCAGAGCGGAGATGTGTTCTCTAAACCCAAATTGGAATTGCGGAATTCGTTCGTTTACTAATGCTGATAGTTTGACCTTAATAAGTTTTTCGAATAGTTTTCCCAAAACTGGAAGAAGGGTGATTGGTCTGTAATTATCAATTCTTTTGTGGTCTGTGCCTGGTTTTGGGATAACTATGATGGTGCCTTTTTTCCATTGATCTGGAAAGTATCAGTTTTTGTAATAGAATACAAAACATTTTTATAATACCTATAGATATTTATATTATATTCTAGTTTTTTCACAATTTGTCATGGGATCATGTCCGATCCTGGAGCTGAGTTTTTCTGATTAGATAGTATTTGAAAGTATTTTTCCTCCTCGAATTCTTTGTTATATTCCTCATTGATTGGGTTGTTTCTAAAATATTGTTTGCAGGATGAGTTTACATTATTCCAGTTTTCTTGTTCAAAAGATGAGTCTTTCGTTCCGTTATATGTTTTAATGAAGTTCTCCTTGAATGCATCGGCCTTTTCTTCATCTGTGGCATAGTCTGCGATATTTGGAATTTTATTCCTTGTTTTATATTTTGACAGTTTATTTATTTTATGATAGAAGTTTCTTCCCTGTTCTTGATTGATTTCTTGGCAGGTCTGTAGCCATGTGTGTTAATGAAATTGTTTTACTAGGAATGTCTTTGTTAAAGTTATTGATGTTTGTTTTGACTTCCCGACTAGGGTTTTGCTTGTATTCTCTGAGCATTTTGATGAGTTTCACGATGTATCTAGGAAGTTCATAAGTAAATTATTTGTTTGCAGTGGTTGGTGTGTTGTTTGTGATAATCTCGGACACCTTTGTGTGAAAGTTATTGACTTCATTGGTAGTAATATTAGTGTTTGAAATTAGTTGGTTTACTTCTAAAATAAATAATTATTTTTTCAATGTTTGATTTATTGAAATGATATTTGAGAGGTGGATCTGCAAAAGGAGAGGGCATTCCTTGCTCGATAGTAAACATTTACACAATCTATTTTTTTTTCTCATTTTAAATGTATTAATGCAAAATTGTGGTAGGGTCCGATTACAATTAGAAGAACACAGCTACGTTATCATTTGGCAAAATAATTAATTGGTAATCGCCGTCTACTGGGTGTTTAGTGGGGTGTTAATATTGTAGATAGGAAATATTGTTTTATACCTAACAACTTACTTATTTTTTATTTATTGATAGTTATAGATAATAAGTATTCAAAATTGTAATGGTTATGACGTAGCTGTGTTCTTCTAATTGTAATCCTATTTTACACATACCTACTGAATTAATTATTATTTTTGATATAGTAAATATATTATAAAGAATCTGTAAATTTTCTCCGGCAAAAAATATCATATCCCGTACGAACACACACACTCACACACATTGGAAATAAATAATACAGGGAGGCCAACAGATAATAAATCTTCCTGCTATAATAGCACTTATAGTTTTTCGAATCCGTGAACACATGCTTTCTCAATCTTGACCCCAATTAAGAGCTATTTATTCCAGTCTGCGAAGGATAAAGATTTAAATTGGCTAGAATCATTTCAATATTTATAAATCGGTAAGAGCATGTCACGACACCGAATCATAGTAATTTGTGGTCGGTATTAAAGGTGGAACAACAATTAAGGCGGGGAATACCTTACATGGGAGGAAAAGGTACTTGCAAAGTCATAAACGTAACACGAAAAAAATCGTGTACCTGTCAACGATAACATTTTATCTAGGTTTAAAAAATATAGTTGATAAACAACTACAGTTTTGGAATTAATTTGTTCAGTTGGAACAAGATGGTTTTTATCTCATGCATGGAGACGTATCTCGATTGGATCCAACCGAACAATATTTTGTAATATACCATTTTGTAGGTCTCATTGTGTAGATTGTTGAGCTAACTTTAAAAATAGAGTAGATATGGGCATTTAAAAATCTTTGTGTGTGGGTATTCTGTGGTTAAAGACAACTTGGTATTTGTCATGAATTTGTGTGCGAATAAATTTATTATTATATTAAGAATTGAATATCCCAGTTTTAAAAAAAGTACTTTTTTTATTTAGGAAACTGCGGCAAAATATATATGTAATTTTTGTCGACCACATCCCGACCTTGATTCTGCCGATTATTCTGTTAATTTTTTTATAATTTTAAAAATCGTTCTGATTTATAATAATAAATTTTAAGCAAACGTGATTTTAGTTTTTTTAACCTTTAAACGTAAACGGTTTATAAATGCCCTCCTGTATAATAAAAAAAAATGGAAAACCTTGAATATAATAATAAAATACAGAAGAAAAATCCGAGAGGTTGGCATTAAAGAGATTGAAAGCACTCGCGATTTGTAATTACAAGGTTTTATAGTGTAATTAATATAAGTTATTTAGCAATAGACGTAATTATTGTGCCATAGCAAATGCGAACAAACACATACAATGTTACCGTTTTTCAGTTATACTTTCCCACTTCATACATGGATATGGGACACTTAATCACCATTCAAATCACTGTTCGCCCGATTTAAATCAAGTGATTATTTTTATCAATAATTATAATATTGAAAAAAATAATACATATTTTTTTAAATTCGACACCAATTTTCATTATACTATTTGTACAGAATAATTTTCCTGCTTTCTCCACTCTTCAATTTATTACGCAAATTGAAGTGAACGATTCTAAATGTAGAACTCGCTCTACCGAAGCTGATGAGGAAACAGCACATAAAAATTGTTTCAAGATGGGAAGAAGTTCTGCAACTTCAGCTGTGGGATTCTCATTGGTATATTCGATTCGTCTCGAGTCGAATTGAGTGTTTATGCGATTCTCAAATGATTTCGATCTCGATTTCATCGAAGACAACTGTCAATTTTAGTCGACAACCCTGATGGTATCGAGGAACTAAGTTTGACACTATTAACCTCACAATTTAAGCAATTTTCTCATCCCAGAGCTTTGCATTTGTTTAGAAGCAGAAAATAAATTTGTAAAAATGGCGTTTAAAATAAAAGAGGAACACATGGAAGTTTTGATTGACTTTATGGAAACTCACAACGATTTTGCCACTGGACGGTTGTCCACAAATAATGCAAAAGAAAAATACAAACTTCTATGGACCGAACTAACAATAAGGTTAAATTCTTTAGGTTTAGGAGAAAGAACGAAAGAAAAATGGCAGAAGGTATGTTAAAATCTAGCAAACAAATATTGATATTTTAATATTCTAAGGGACAGTCTTTTCACCTCTGAGTAAAGTTGAAAGTAACTATAGGGCTACTATTTTTTATTAATCTGTCAAGTAATCCTACATGTAACTTTACTATGTGAAAAGATCGACCCTAAAACAATAAAAAGTACTCTTGTTTGTCATGTATCATTATTGCTAGGTTTTTACATTATTGTTGTTTACGTAAATGACTCTTCATTAATTTTTTGTTGTACTATACAGTTCTCTAAGTTTTGAATTTTAATTAATAAATATGTGTTAGACATGGACTGATTACAAGTGTAACCTAAAAAAAAAAGCAAGCGAAATAAAAAATGCCCAAGAAGGAACAGGCGGAGGGCCAGAACTGAAAAAACAACTAAGCAATATGGAAATGAGAGTTTTATCTTTACTTGGAAATACCTTTTATGAAGGTTGTGGGACCCCAGAGAGAGGCGTAAGTTCATTTAAATACTTCTGTATTAACTAAAATTAATTAATGATTTTAAATTATATGAACATGTATATTTATTATTTTTAGCTTAATTATATAAAGCCTAATACTTCTGGTATCTCATCCAAAATGGACTTGGAAACTATAAAAAATAATGATATTTAGTAATATGACGCCAAACACAAACAAAAGAGTTGCAATAGACCATGATTATTTAGTTCCCGAAGAAAAAACAAATCCTATAACAAAAAAAATGAAAAGAGGCGATACATGTGAAAGTACTGACAATCTGTATAAGGAAACTATTCGTTGTTTGAATAATATTGAAACAAATATCACATCAAATTTAAAGGAAATTAACAATACTTTAAGTTCAAATTTAAACGAACTGAATAATACTTTAAGTTCAAAATTTGACGAACTTATTTCAGTTTTAAAAAGAAAGGAAGACAACTAAAGATGTTTTAAGTTTCTCCCATACCTATTTACTGAATTAAAAATGTTTTTTAAAGTTTTTATTTTTATTTATAATACATTTATATCAAAATAAAGAACAGCAACAGTAAGTACATTTATTAATATAAAACTACAGTGTTTATGTAAAATACAAATCTATAATATCCTGTTGAACTCGCCTTCCCTCATTTAACAAATTATTATTATTATGGTTTAAATGGTCATTATTGGGTTCTTGTTGTATATTTTCATTAAAAACTAGATTATTTTCAATACACATATTGTGCAAAACAACACAGGCATTAATAATTGACCCAATAACCTGTGGAGAGTACCTTGCTGACCTTTCTTTTAAAAGACACCTAAATCTTGTCTTCAACAAACCTATGCATCTTTCTACACAATTTCTAGCTGAGCAGTGACTTATATTATATCTAGATGCAGGTGAATTTTGAGGTGGCTGATGTATAGGTGTCATTAAAAATGGTTCAAGTGGATATCCACTGTCTCCAATAAGCCATGTACCTCTAAGACCTGCTGCATATTCTCTTAAGAGAAAATTATGAACCTCAGATTGCCTCCAAATAAATGAATCATGGCTAGAACCTCCATAGTTTGCATTTACATTCATAATTTTTAGAAATGAATCGCAAATAATTTGAACATTTAATGAGTGAAATCCTTTTCTGTTAATAAAATTATGTTCTTCCTCTTTTGGCTTTAAAATTGCAATGTGAGTGCAGTCTCATAAATGCTCCTTTCACCACATTCATTTCCCTTCTATCAGTTGGAAATTTAATTGAATTTTGGGACAAATGAGTATCAATTGCCACTGCAACTTCATTAATGCATCTAAAAATAATATAGTATACCTTGAATTTACTTTATTTACATGTAGGTACTGGTTTTATATACCTTCGCTAAATAAATAACCTACCTATGTGTTGCAGTTTGACTTAATCCTAAATTAAAGTCTTCTCCCACAGATCGTTGATAACAACCTGTCGCAAAGAATCGTAGCGCTACAAGAACTTTTATTTTTACTGGTATTGCAGTAATATATCGTCCCGTTTTTAAATGCTCTTCCAATGAATTGCAGATATGTTCGGCTAATATTTTGTTCAGCCTAAATAACTCAATAAATCTGGTATCGGATAGAGCAAAGGGGTCCGCTCTGTCTGTTATAAATCTCCTTTCCAATCTTAACCGTCTATTGCAATTGACCCTATTTCGACGACGATATTCAAAATCAAAAATGGGTAACATTTTTATGATCAAAACATCAAAGTATACCTAACCTAAATTATAAATGAATTAATTTAAAAGAGAGGTAACCTTTAAGAAGAAAAATAACTAGTAGTTACTAAAATGCTACGAAACAGCTACGAGTATAGTCGACACCAAATTCGATAGTCAATGAGAATTACATTTCATTCGATATCGTATTTGGTATCGAGTCGAGTAACGTATTCGATTCGTGTAGAATCGAGGAAGCAGAATCCCCCTGCAGGAATATTCTGTTGTGAGGCACTTAATTTTTCTCTTCACTTTAATTTTAATAGTTTTAATTAACTTTGGCACAGACACGGTCACAGGCTCAATAAAAATTTGTCAAATAAATCAGCTTACGAGTTCTCTTCCCCTTTATATTATTTTGTATTGTGTTTTTTGTATTCGTGTATTTTATAAAAACAATAATTCTTATATTCTTGTACGTCGTTTATACAGAAATCATTATAACAGCAAGAATAAAAGATATCCCAAATGCAAATTTAATTTCCAGTACTATCAAATTTTCTTAACCAATATTTAATAAAATTTGTATTTGAGACATCATTCGTTCTTGCTATTGTTATGTGAGCCATTTCCTTATTCAGTCATTCTCTAACCCTACAAGTCCCTCTCTGTCTTATTTGGCCTTTGAGGCTCAACTTGTCCGATTATTATACATAATTCGAGATAGGACGAGATAATATTTCTGGTCTGTTCCAAATATTTCTAGTTTGGTGGAGGAGCTTCTAGACTTTAGAAATTTGTATATAAATATTGGTGGAAGAACAGAGTGCAATCAGTTATTATATGGACAGTGAAGATAAATAGTAATTAGTAGATAGACAGTGGTGAATATAAATAGTGATCAGTTTAAAGACATTCGAAGTATATATAAATTAGAATAGTTGTGTTATAAAATAAATAAGTGTTTAAATAAATTATTAATAAATAAACTGTTGTTTGAAAATAAACAAACATCACACTATGTTATAATGATTTCTGTACAAACACCGCACAAGAACATAAGAATCATTGTTTTTAAAATATTGTGGGTTACGAATTGAACTATCGAAATGCAAAATCATTAAGGATTGGTGGGTAATCCTTTGACTTAGTCCAGGGATGTGCTAGCTGGGTTAACTATTCGGACTGTATGTATTTTTTAAATTATGGTGAAGTTATGTAATAAATACACATTTCTGTCAAGCTTAAAATATACCAGATTTTACATTATTTTTTAAACGTATTCATCCGAATTTCTTTATGTTAATAAATAATATCTGGTTGGACATTTCTAATTAAACGCAGCTTCCTTTTCAATTTGATAAAGAATGCTGATAAAAACAGTCCGCAACTCAAACCGCATTATGGCCGTCAGACACAATTTAATGTCGAAACGAAAACAAGCGGTAATATTCATGTGCATATGTTATTTCAAATTGCTTCGTTTCGCTGCTAAAACCAGTTTTAATATTCCAATAAATGTCTAAATAGATTATATAAAAATGCTATAAAAATATTTTTTTGGTTAGTGTCGGTACGTTTCAAGCTGTGACACCCAAAAAGAAACTATTTCTGGTGAAGGATATTATTTCCAACTTTAAGTGTAAGCAAGATATAAAAAAAACATAAAATGTTACCTAATCTATACCAACGATCTATCAGAAGCAAAATTTCTACCATTTTCCCCCACAATGCTTCTTTTTTCCCATAATTCCCCCTCTTTTTTCTAAAATTCTTTTTTTTTTCCAAAAACTAAAGTGTTAATAATATGTTTTCTACACCCAAATGGATATTAGATTATCTACGCACAGACTACAAAACGAAAAAGTATATCATTGCGTTCAACTGAACGAATATATTTCATATCCATTTTAGGTAGTGAGAACACTGCAAAAAAATTAAATTCACCAATCACAGTTCATATTTTGGACACCCAACTACTATTAGGCATTCCAAACAAATAAATTGCCAGTGGGAAGTTTTGATATATCTAAAGGTTGCGACTATACGTAAAATCATTTAAATATTTGATGTCAAACACAATAGAAATAATATTTAAAAAACCCGCTTCATAAATTGGCACGCTTGGCGACTACTATTTCGAATAAAAATAGCGTCCAAGATGCAAAACTATGTCGCTACCCCCTTAGATACACGAAAACTTCCCACTGGCACCTATTGTTGACAGATCGTTGGAATGCCTAATTATTATTTTTAAATAAGTGACAATCCTGTCAGAGTAATTGTCAGTATATTTTTTACTTATTGAGATTAAATATACATTTAAATGAGTTATTTTTGTGTAAATAATCGTAAATAATAGCAGTTTTATTTTTATTTAAATCATATTTCAAAAAAAAAAATTATTTTAATCAAAATCGTAAAAGTAGCCGTAGACGCATGTACAGAGTGCTTGCCTTCCACGCGAAAAGCCGGAGTTCGATTCTCGAGGGCGAATATTATTTTTTTTTTTTTTTTCATATTTATTTTACTTTAAAAATCAGTCAAATTCATAAATTACACTGCACCGCAAAATTAACCGGACACTAAGTGTATTTTTAAATAAAATTAAAATATATTAGAAAAACTCAAATTCCAATAATTCTTTTTTATTGTATATTCAATAACAAACCCTATAATAAAAAACAAGTCCCAAAATATTAATTAATTTAACAACAAATAAAAATTTTGTATTCGGGAGTATTTTTCTGATTGAAATCATTAATTCTAAGATTTGGATATCAAAATCGAGTATTCCCTCCTCGAGTTCGAATCCTTTCTGGCATAGACTGGACCAAAGAAATCTCGTTTTGCGGTATTTGTTCCCACTCATTTACCAGCGCCTGTTCTAACGCTACCACAGTTTCAAACTCGCCATAATTTTGTCAAAGTCTTCTTCCCAAGTTGTCACACAAATGCTCTATGGGGTTAAGGTCTGAGCTTCTAGGAGGCCAGGCTAGTATCTGAATACCAACATCTGCAAAGTATTGCAAGTTACCCTGGCTATGTGGGGCCGAGCATTATCTTGCATTAGAAGAAAATGTTCACCTACAAAATGCATAAAAGGCACCACATGTTCTTTCAGACATCCCCTAATGTACCTATCAGCATTAAGGCCAGCTCCCCCTAACATAACAAGATCTGTATGTGCTTCCAAAGAAATGCCCCCCCTCCCTTACCATTGCACCTCCACCATCAAACTGTACTCTAGGAGAGAAACAACATTGGGCATAGCGTTCTCCAGGTCTCCTTCATACTCTTTGGCGACCATCAGGTGAGTATCTCGTAAAACGAGACTCATCTGTAAAAAGAACGTTTCGCCAATCTTCCATATCCCAATCTGCATAAGCAAGAGAGAATTCTAAGCGTTGTCTTCGATGAACTGCATCCAGTAAAGGGCCTGTGGCAGGTACATAAGACGATAAATTTTGTTCTTTTAATCTGAGTACAGTATCAGGTGAAACTACGGTTCCATAAACATCTGCAAGTCGCCTGGTCAAAGCTGTAGCAGTAACTGTCCGCTCTCGAAGCACTTGAAGTCTCAGAAATCGATCTTCAACGGCGTTTTTTACCCTTGGTCTTCCCTGTCCAGGTCTTCTAGAGTAAGAACCAGTTTCTCTAAATCTTCGTAATGCATCAGATATTGTACTTCGCGGAACGCCAAGCATTTCTTCGATATAACGAATGGAACGACCATCATTATGTAAGGCAACAGCTTGCGCTACT